TAATGCCAGTAGCTCACAAAGTAGAATTTTTGCTCACAAGACTCCACAGCTTAGAGGGATGTTGGGTATTACAAGTTGAAAACACTCAGTATTTCTGGGGTTGAATGTTTGTTTATGTTACTCACAGGAAGTCACATGTTTCTCATGTAACCAATGTTCTTTAGCTGTAGAAAGCCCGGGAGGTTTCTCCCTGATCTAGGAATTTGATTGGAACTAAAGTGTCAAGGTGTATTACCATTTTATGGCTTCTTTTCCCTTCTTTCTTTGGTGTTCTGAGGAAAAAGAAGAGCAGCCATAATATCTCCTCTAGTTTTGTCTTTGTAGAGTAAGGATGTAGCAGATTTTGCTCTGTTGTTATTTTCATCCCAGTTACCCTTCCCATGCTAGAATTTAGTAAAAACTTTATATTTTAATCACACATGGACTCTCAGTCTGAATTATTTTACTCTGGCTCTGCTGGACCATCTTATTTCTGCTAAATACCATTTTTTCAATATCTCACTATCACCCAACAAGGAAGCATTGGACACAAGTCCTACTTTAGTAAGGGAACGGCAGCCTTTCTCCTAATAGCGGGGAGACGCTTTACACGCTGAAGCAATCATCACATTCTCTAGATGAGGAATTAAAATGGGGTAGCTAAACTCTGCTGGCATGGAGCAGAGTGCACACACTCTGGAGTGGGAAAGTTACCAGATCTCATGGGCACAGTTTAGGTTAGAAATCCTCCATGTCTGGCGTGGATTCTCCCCACTCGGGACAAATCTCCACTCATCTGCTTTCCTGACTGCCCAAACAAAATGGATAAAATTGTGACCATTAAAACCAGTGCCTCTCTTTGCAATAACGGCATAAGAATGGCTTATTGAGAAACAAACTGGGAGCATCAGCAACAAAGAATGTCTGAAATGGAACGGCTCACGCATCAATGGGAAAGGTAGGGCATATTCATACACCCATAATCAATACTCTCTCTAACGTGAGGAGTCTTGTGAGCAAAACTTCTCCTTTGTGAGCTACTGGCATTGAAGTTGTGAGCGAGCCATTTGGCTGCTGTATAAATTAGTGTGCTCTGGAGCCCTCCTTCCTGAGCTGAGAGAAAAATGTGTCAGCCAGAGGCTAAAAAACTGTGAGCTAGCTCACACTCATTCAGCTTAGAGGGAATGTTGCCCATAATCTAGAGGGAACCCCCATGCGCACCCCATAGTTACCGTATCAGGATCAGACCTGTACACAGCCAAATTATCTGGTCACCTCTGGCAAGTTGAGAAATAGATCCAAGCAACCATGCAGGGGAGCTGAACAAAATGTTGGCTTTCCCCCCTTTTCTTTAAGGCCACAGATGACCACTGTACGGGCCGCTGGACTCATTTAAAGAGAAAGCATTGGAACATTTTGCAAGTCGGCATGGTACTGTGGTCAGAATACCCAGCTAGGGTCTGGGGGACTGGGTTCAAACCCCAGCTCCGCCATGGAAGCTCACCGGGTGAACTTGGACCAGTTTTCCCTCCCTCTGCCTGGCCTATTTCATAGGGTTCTTGTCAGGATAAAATGGAGAAATGGGGAGTGACAATGCAGCCTGCTTTGGATCCCATTAGGGAGACAAGGTGGGCATAAACAGCTAGCCAAACAAGCTTCTCTCAACTGCATGGAAGAGAAAACGAAATAACAGTTGCCTACAGGTTTAAACAGCTAGCCAAACAAACTTCTCTCAACTGCACGGAAGAGAAAACGAAATAACAGTTGCCTAGTTTATTTCTAATTTGACCGGGGGGGGGGGTGCAAGAGGGGGAGAGATAATATTCCAGTGGCAAACACTGGGTGGAAATTTATTCTTGGTCTCCCTTCTTCCCTCTTTATTATGGACAGCCCAGCTGAATTCCCTTAGGTAGAGTCAGCGGGCCCTTTCTAGGTATACTGGGGCCTTCATAGGGCTACGGACATCTTTGCACAAACACATAAATCCCCCAGCTTCCATGCACATCTGCTGTTGTACAACAGGCACGGAACAGATATTTTTGGCAGATGGTCCTCCAGAATGGGCCATGAAGGGCCCCTGGTCCACACCAACATTGTGCGGAATACACACCACACAAAATTGCCTCAGTCAGGCAGCCTTATACTGGTACCGATCTGGAACCTAAGATGTCCCTGGGAAAACATCGCGTATTGTAAAATCGCCAGTACATATTCTTATGATGAGCAGATGTTGAATACTCTCCTTTTTTGCCCAAAAGACGGACTTTCCATTCAGACCTGCATTTATATGTAAATTGTACATCCACATAGAGAATTTTATTTCAGTCACAGAGCACAACTGCAAAACACGTTACTGCCAAAATTAATCTGGCATTTTTCAACCTCGCAGGACTGCTGTCTTGAGAAAACCTGAATCAGTTACGCATCTGATTACTCTCTTGTTTGCAGTTATTAAGGCCCCAAACAATCAAAACAGCACACTACTTCTAAGCATCCCCATTTTAACAGGGTGAAAAAAGAGAGGCACCAGCTACAGCCGCAAGCCAGGCCAAACTACATCTCTCGGACTCCGAAACTATTGCACCGTTGCTTTAAAAGCAGAGAATCCCCTGCATTTTATTCGCATTTCCGGCTAGCGACCACTGTTCCAAGGAGTTCTACTCTTTAGATTATGTTCAGCTAAAAATTTGAAATAATTGTCTACAACAGAAGTACTTTTATAGTTCTCTCCTTAGAGAGCTTGGGGTGGGGAGCGGAATGGAAGTGGAAAAGCAATAGGATGGTGAAGGTGTGCCAGCAACTTTTTTGGAACGCGTCCCTCCTTCTGATTCCACATTCCTACAAGAGTTCCCCTGACCTGGATGGCCCAGGCTAGCCCGATCTTGTCAGATCTCAGAAGCAGGGCTGGCCCTGGTTAGTACTGGGACGGGAGACCACCAAGGGATTCTAGGTTTAACGTGCAGTAGCCTGCCATGGCAAAGCACCTCTGAGCATCTTTTGCCTTGATAGCCCTACAGGCACGCCCTAAGTCAGACTTTCCACCACCAGCACCAAGGCTGCTGTTTGGGCCCACCGACCCTCTCTGCTTGCCCAGGCCCTAAAAAGCCACAGGCAAATCCGCTGATCTCCACGAGGGCCAACACCACACACCACCGGGGGGGGGCATCACTGAGGGGGCAATAGTGCCCCAGAGAACCTTTCCCAACGTAGTTCCGATTTGCGGAGCGGACATTGCTCTGCTTGCTTTCTGTTCAGTGCAGAAACACCAAGCTGCCCATGCGAGGGCACAGCCCTGCAACATCAACGGCTCAGGTTTTTTCCATTGATCGTTTCTTCCATTTATACCTCGCTTCTCTCCCCGATGGGGACCCAGAGCAGCTTACACCATTCTCCTCCGTTTATCCTCACAACAACCCTGTGCGGTAGGTTAGGCCAAGAGCATGTGACCGGTCCAAGGTCACCCAGCAAGCTTCCACGGCAGGCTGAGGATTCAAACCTGGCTCTCCCAGATTGTCTCACACAGCATAATACAGCTCCCCTTGTGTGGCCGGTGGATACTGTTTCCTCTGAGGTACAGGGAAACCACCCCAAAGGTTTCCACAACAGCATACGGACCCACTTCCCCACAGGAGCTGTACCTGCTGCCGGGTTCTTCAGCCTGGGTCTGCCTCCACCCCCACCCTCAACGATGAAAAGGCTGAGCCATGCCTGGCCTCTCTTGGGACACAGCGGCGTTATTTACTGAAAACAGCGTTGAGCCACTTTGAGGTTTGGGGATTTTTTCCTCCTTTTAGCACACACAGACACAATTCCTACCCAGTATGGTGGTAGAAAGTGCTGTCAAGTCCCAGCTGATTTATGGCAAACCCCAGAGAGTTTTCCAGGCAAGATGCGGACAGGAGTGGTTTGCCTTTGCCCACCTCTGGGCAGCAGCCCCCAACTTCCCATCTAAGTACTAACCAGGGCTGACCCTGCTTAGCTCCCCAGGTTTGACAAGGTCAGGTTAGTCAGGGTCATCCAGGCAAATGCCTCAAAAATAACCAGTTCCCCGTCCGATGCCAGGAACCGCAGGATTCAAATGCAACCGCCGGCCAAAGAACTTCATGCATGATTTAATGCCTCTATCACTGTATTTCCAAATGTTCCTATACAAATGCATACTTGACCAATGGCGCAGATGGCAGCTTTTCCAGAAAGACTGGGACATCACGCAAGCCTCAAAAGGTTCGCGGGCAAGCAGTTCCACAAGGCGGAACACCAATCCTAATGCTTCGTATTCAGCACCATGCCCTCGTGCTCTCCGCATAAAATAACCTGGGATTCCGATTTATTCTGTACTCAACATGAATTAGAAAATCCCCCTATCGGTAAACCTTCCTTTCCACCATCTTTACTTAAAGGACAACAGGTCGGTTTAGAAATACATTAAGAGTATTGCCAGTAAATGATCTTGACTGTAACCCCCCCCCCAATTAAATGCAATTAAGACCAGAGCTTTGTGTTTAATGTAACCTTAAGAGAAATGTTTCAAACATCTTCCCCAATATGAATTAAAAACACTTTAAAATGGTGCCTTCCCTGTTTCTTAACACAGGGTTTTTTATTCCACTGATCTATGGGGTAAGGTGATTCCCTAAGCATTTCATCCTCAGATTCTCTTACACTAGCAACACCACAGTTCTGCACAAGATAAAAGGAAAGGAAGATGAGACCGACTGATGGACATTTTGTAAACTTTTTTTTTCCCCCCCCCCAAACCCTCCTGAAAGGCCTCCTCACATTCTGCCTCCCTAGAACACCACTTACCACCACCACCACCCCGCCTAGCCTAGGAGAGTTGGGAGAGCCCCAATTCTTTCTGAACCTGGGCCCTTCATCAGCATTCGGCACCAGAACTTGCCCCCCCTTCACACCACATCACAATTGCAACAAAAAAACACATAAGTGAATGAGACAGAAACTTAATTAAAAACAGACTCTCTTTTTTTGGAGGGGGGGGTTGTTTTTAACAATAATCTTACCACTGGAGACGAAATTCGACACCCAGGGCAATCACAGATTGGAGGATGTACCTGTAAGATTCCTTTGGACATAAGAGTCTTCAGACTTTTTCCTGGAAACAGAAAATTTGAGAGAGAGAGAGAGAGGAGGAGGAGGGGGGAGAGACAGTTTTAATTTGGCTTGTCTTGTGCTAAAAAAACACATACACACACACTAGTGTTCCCTCTCAGCTGAGTTAAGTATGAGCTAGCTCATAGTTTTTTTAGCCTCCGGCTCACACATTCTTGTCTCCGCTCAGGGAGGATGGCTCCAATGCCAACAAATTTATGCAGCAGCCAAATCGCTGGCTCACAACTTTAACACCAGTCCCTCACGAATGTTTGCTCACCAGCCTCCACAGCTCAGAGGGAGTATTGACACACACCAGCCCTAACCTTCACCACCCTCCGCCCCC